GGGCCATGAGTAACATCCCCACAACCAAACTTTCCCACTCTGTGTCATTCATATATATATACATATATCTACATATATGTAGATATATAGATACAGATGTAGATATAGATGAGATGTATAGATACAGACAGATACTTTTTTTTTTTTTTTTTTTTTAGTATTGGGGATTGAACTCAGAGGCACTCACCCACTGAGCCATGTCACCAGCCCTATTTTATATTTTATTAGAAACAGGGTCTCACTGAGTTGCTTAGTGCCTTGCCATTGCTGAGGCTAGGTTTGAACTCGTGATCCTCATGCTTTAGCCTCCGAGCCACTGGGATTACAGGCACGTGCCACTGTGCCCAACTATGCTTTTTTTTTTTTTTTAAAGACAGGAAATCACCTCCTTTCCTGTTATTTCAAAATCTACCCTGGAAAGACTGAAGCATGGTATCCAGACTCAGACAATAGCTTTATCTGGATTCATGAAGTTAGTCTTGGATTTTTTTTCTCAAATAGACAACTAAGGAACACATTATCCAGGGAGAAAGATGCCTGCTTACATCAGACCTTTTAATGCCCAGAACGGATTTTTTAAGGAAAAGTCCCTGATAGGGCAAGCCACTACTTTGGAACATTGGCTATGTTAGGGCTATGAGATATTACTAAGTGATTCTGTATTCCAAGGTAATACCTTTTACTTACAGATGGTGAATTAGGCAAACACCATCATTAGAAGTAACTGTTTATCCTCTTGTATACTGAATAATATATTTTAGGGAATGAGGAGCTAACATGTTTTGATTAACATCTAAAAAGCCTTGGAAATGGGTTAATGAAATGTTCTTAGCCATTCTTTGAAATAATATGATATCCTTTGTAATTTTTTGATAGCATAAAGGGACTTAAATTAACTGTTTCTTTCTTATTTTGTAATAAGATATTCTTTTTTAAAATATATTTTTTGTATTTTCTAATTAGTTATACATGACAGGAGAATGCATTTTGACAAATCATATATAAATAGAGTAAAAATTCTCATTTGTCTCATTGTAAACTATGTAGAGTTACACAGGTCATGTAATCATATATACACATAGGGTAGTAATGTCCTATTCCTTCTTCTTTCTTACCCTCATGCTCCCTCCCCTCCTTTCACTCCCCTCTATCTAATCCAAAGTACCTCTATTCTTTCCCCCCTCTTATTGTGAATTAGCATATGCATATAAGAGAAAATGTTCTTTGGGATTGACTTATTCTGCTTAGCATAATATTCTCCATTTCCATCCATTTACTGGCTAATGCCATAATTGCATTCTTCTTTAAGGCCGAGTAACATTCCATTGTGTATATATACCACAGTTTCCTTATCTATTCATCTGTTGAAGAGCACCTAGGTTGATTCCATAATTTAGCTATTGTGAATCAAGCTGCTATAAATATTGATGTGGCTGCATCACTATAGTATGTTGTTTTTAAGTCCTTTAGGTATAAACCTAGGAGGGGAATGATGGGGTCAAATGGTGATTTCATTCCCAGTTTTCTTAGGAATCTCCATACTTCTTTCCTTAGTGGTTGCACCAATTTGCAGTTCCTTTTCCTCCACATCCTCGCCTACATTTATTGTTGCTTGTATTCTTGACGTTTGCCATTCTGACTGAAGTGAGATGGAATCTCATTGTAGTTTTGATTTGCATTTTGCTAATTGCTAGAGATCTTGAACATTTTTTTCATATGTTTGTTGATTGATTGCATTTCTTCTTCTATGATTATATTTCTTCTTGCCCATTTATCAATTGGGTTGTAATAAGATGTTCTTGTACTTCATATTTGATGAATACAAATTTACTTTGCCAGATCTTTTAGTACTTTGGAGCATACTTGTGTGAGACTCTGCATTATGTATGTGTGTAGGATTTCTTTTGTGCAGTTACTTAATAGACATGCTTGGTAAATTTCTGTTACATTTAAAAAACCAAATGCTTATCTTCTATATGATCAGTACAAAGTTTAATTAAGCTTTTTAAAAATATTTTTAAATATTTATTTTTTAGTTGTAGTTGGACACAATATCTTTATTTTTATGTGGTACTGAAGATCGAACTTAATTAAGCTTTAATATAGCTTAAACGTAAAAATATTTTGAGTTTGTGTCTCTGAGAACCTCGGACTTTGTTAGGCAGATGTTGCTCTTGGAGCAGTAACCTTGCTCAGCTCTTGTTAGGGAAAACCTGAAATTTATTTGGCAGCAAGTAAATTTACTTGGCAGGTGTTTATTCTGGACTAAACAGAAAAAGTATCACTAAAGTCAACACCTGTATAGATGGTAATGGTGATGCTTGGGATCTACAGAATGTGAAAAGTCTGGCTTGCTATAAATAAACCTGACTCACTGGCTGTAGACAATAGCTTTATCATCTCTGAATTCTCTCAATAGTAAAATGAGGATTATGACCCTTATAGTTGGGAATTACCTTGAAGATTAGAGAGAATGTGTATTTACCAACACAGCCCTCAATAAAGGGGACACATTATTATTATTATTATCATCATTATTATATTACTCCTGCTTTTAGATGACTCCATTTTACATTTTCTGTAAAATTAGTTGTTTGCCAAGAAATTACATGACCCAATATACTACTCAACTTTTAATAGGACTAGAGAATTTAATAGGTGATTCCTTAGGATAAAAGGCATTAAGATGTGGTAAGTATTATTATATAAGCCTGGCTTTCTTTCTTTTTTGGACTGATTTTATTTGATTAAAGCTCTAAGAACTGTTTTTTTTTTCTATTTTTCTATAGAGAAGCACATCCTAAGTTAAATTAATAATAATAATAAACCTTAAGTTTATACACTACAAATAGAATACATATGCTTTAAAGTTGTGTTATTTCCATTCAATGCTAGGTTACAAAAACTCTCAAATTTAGAACTTCTATTTTTAGTACAGAAATAGAAGCATATGAGGTAGGGATAGGGGATTGCTTTAACTGATGCATAAAATCTGTGTGTTAACAATTTTAGCTTGGGCTCCTGAACTAAAATTAACAATACCATAGGGTTTCTTTATTATGAGCTACATCTCTAAGAAAAATTATTTGTAAAAGCAGTTTCAATTTAAGAATTTTCTCTTATTCAATATGGCTGGTGCCAGAATATAATCAGATGAAATCTAAAATTTTGAAGTCCAGAATGAGCATATAAAGAAATGTCACTATTGGAAAAAAAAAGGAAAGTACTGTAATTTTTCTGATATTATAATAATTTGTGTTGCCCTTTATCTTTATTTCCCCCAACAGTGCTTAATTCTAAAATTTAGTTAATATATTTATTGAACATTTGTATTTATTAAATGCCTCAACAAACCAGGCATTATCTTTTATATTCTTTCTGAGGGTATACCAAGATGGCTCATACAAGGTCCTTGGACTAAGGAAATTTACTTAATAAGGTGTAATAACAGTTTGTTACAGTACTTGATCCCTATACTTATGCTAGGTCTTTTTAAAATTTTTTACTTGAGATGAACACAATATCTTTATTTATTTTTATGTGGTTCTGAGTATTGAACCCAGTGCCTCACACTTGCGTGGGAAGCACTCTACCACTGAGCCCCAGACCCAGCCCTTAAGCTAGGTCTTAATGATAAGAAAACTGCATAATATGCCCATTTCCTCATGGCTTTTACAATCTAACTAATCTAAATAAGACAGCATAGTGTAAGAATATAGAGCAAATCACATTAGGATCAAAATGTCCGACATGGAGAATATATAGTCAGGAAGCTGAAAGATCCCTATGGACCAGTCAGAGAAAAGTTTCATGGAAAGCCGAGAAAATTTTAGAGGTAAAGAGGAAGAGAGACATTATATTAGGAATGATTGTGAAAGAAACAAAAATACCAAGAAATATTGGAAAGAATTTTTTTTTGGTACTGGGATTGAACCTAGGGAACTTAACCACTGAGCCATATATATCCCTTGCCTTTTCTACTTATTGATTTATTTTATTTTGAGACAGGATCTTGTGAAGTTGCTCAGGGACTCTCTAAGCTACTGAGACTGGCTTTGAACTTGTGATTCTCCTGGAACTACAGGTGTGCATCAGTGCACCCAGCTAGAAAGAAAATTTGACTGAAATTGGTGATATATTAGATATGAGTGGATGATCATAAAGAGCATGGAATAGAATTAGAGGAATTGAAAAGGACACCAAAGATTTAGATTTTAATGATTGGAAAGAAATGGTGTTCTTGTTATAATGGATATGTAAGAAAATATTTAAGTAGGAGTAGATGGAATACTAAATAAAATATTTCTTACTTTAGGTGCTTTGTCCTTTTTTTTTGATTGGTAATCTAAAATTTTTATATAGACTAAATAAAACAATAGAAGTCTCCCTTCTAGTCACATTTACTTAATTGTGAATTCCACTTTAATTACTAGAACTACTATTTAAATATATCCTATGCCTCAAATAGAGAATTATGTCAAGTTTGTAGTATCTAAAGGGATATTAGTTGACATATTCACTAAGATCTTGGTCTCAATATTTTTGAGCTAGAAGCATGGTGAGGTTTAGGTGGCATTTCTTCTTTCCCCCAGACTGGGATGGAGACTAATAAAACTGTGGGATAATCCAGAAAAGAAATACAGTAGTCATACAAGTTCTGGTCCCTAGCACTTACTAAACAAAGATTTGTAAGCATTGAGAACTTCAATTTTTCCACTGAATCCTTTATCATTTTTTAAAGCTATGCAAGTAGGTAGGATTCATTGTTACACATGATTAGTTATTAGTAACATATTGTATTTATATAATCATGAAGTTTTTCAATTTCCAATGTAAAATAAAAATCACTCTTACAGCAAATAGAATCTAGTTGAAACTCTTTGCTACATTAAGATCATCTGTATTAAAAGAAAAAAAAAAGATCATCTGTATTGAGATACTAGATGATAAAACTTTCAAACCACTTTACTTTTGTTCATTGTCTTTGCTTCTATTTGCAGTTCTGGGAATTGCCAGTGCAGAGTGGGTGTCACCGGCCCTACATGTAACCAATGCCAAGATGGATATTATGGCTTTAGTGAGAATGGCTGCTTGCCCTGTCAATGCAATAATCGATCTGCCAGTTGTGATTCTCTCACAGGTACATATTTTCCTTAATTTTGTCATATAATTATTTCATTTTTTAAATTTTGAAATATTTCAGTGTATGTTGATTCTTCTCAAATTGTTAATAAAGGTCTTTTCTAAGTAGGATATAATAGGTCACAGCAAACCAAACTCTTTAATAACATCTTGGAGAAAATATATTAATTTCAAAAATCATATTTATTGGAGAGCTATTGAAGCAAGGAAAGCTACATGAACTAAAATTCCAGAAATGACAGAACACTTTGAAACTCTTCCTAAGTAAGCCGATCACCAGATACTGTGTGAAAATCCAGTGTAAATGAATTGACCACAAGGTGCCATGATACCAAAGAAAGATGTGGACAAGTCTAAGATTTCGGAGTGTAATTTATTGGAGACTTACTGACAGAAGCAGAGTCGGGGTGGCAACAAGACTGGTGGATACCTGAAAATTGGGTCAGAGGGTAGAAGCTTACATAATAGTCAGGACGAAATTAACTTCGTCTAAGCTGGAATGTACCTGGTTTATCTTAAGCTAGCATCAAAGATGTCAGGCACATTCCCTGTGTTGATGGTGCCAGGATCCAGTTGTAAAACTCCACGTACTCCTCTAATGGCTTTGTATATCTGTAGTGTGCTAGGATACCATGCAAGGAAACAAGCTATGGTTACTCACGAACAGTCATGGCAGTTATGACTGAAGATGGCTGCAGTCAGATCAAGCTGGATCCCTATACTAGGCATTTTCTTTCTTTCTTTCTTTCTTTTTTTTTTAAACAAAGAAACCTGTCCATTTTATTTTGTTTATTTATTTTTTAATATTTATTTTTCAGTTTTCGGTGGACTCAACATCTTTATTTTATGTGGTGCTGAGAATTGAACCCAGTGCCTGTGCATGCCAGGCGAGCGCGCTACCACTTGAGCCACCTCCCCAGCCCTAGGCATTTTCTTTCCAGGAAACATTTGCTGATTCTGGGTATAGACTAGGAAGATAGATTTGGTCTAAGCAAAGTCTTTCTCCTTGAGGAAAGTTACAAGAAGTACATTAGGCAATCATTTGGGGCTTGTATGCTGGTTGGAAATTAGAGGGACCCTAAACAAAAGGCTAGTTTTCCCACAGAACATTAGCTGACTATGCAGGAGATGGAAGGCTGGGCTATAAGATAGAAAGTAATATCAGTTTTGTGTTAAGGAGACAAGATCCTTTTAGTAATGTCAGTTTTGTGTTAAGGAGACAAAATCCTTTTAGTAGACAGGCATGGTGGTGCATACCTGTAATCCCAGCTACTTGGAAGGCTGAGGCAAGAGGATAGCAACTACAATATATGACCATCTCTTTCTTAAAACATTGCCAGACTGAAGATGCATGGGATCTAGGCTCAAACCAACAAAGGTCAGTACTAAACCTTTTAGGGCTAAGGAGATGAAGGACTGCTATATTCTCGGTCAAAAGGGCCAGGACAAACAAAGTGATGAACCAGAGGTGAAATGACTCATGCTAAAACTCCATTCATTTTCAACCCACTTTAATTTCTGATTGAATTGTGGTGATCCTTTCCTTATGTTTGCCTAACAGAGGAAAGAAGGACCCTTTGGTTCTTTTATACCATGTTTGGCATCTGATAAAAAAGTACTAGAGAATGTAGAGACAGGAAAATGTGACTAAAATAAAGATAAAATACAAATAATGGAAGAGGAACCATAAACAATCCAGATTTAGAGTTACCATACAAAAACTTTAAAATAACTAAAATTAATATTTATGAATATAGAAGATACGTTAGAAAAAATGGGTGTAAAGGAGTAAAATTTCAATTCAGTATTACACTCTGTTTAAAAAAAAAAATCAAATGCCAGGTGCGGAATTACATACCTGTAATCCCAGCAGCCCGGGAGGCTGAGGCAGGAGTATGGTGAGTTGAGTTAAAAGTCAGCCCAAGGTGCTAAGCAACTCACTGAGACCCTGTCTCTAAATAAAATTCAAATAGGGCTGGGGATGTGGCTCAGTGGTTGAGTGCGCCTGAATATAATCCCCAGTATCATCTCCCCTGCAAAATCAAATGGACAATCTAGAACTGAAAAATAAAATATCTGAAATTAATCTCTCATTGCATGTGTTTAAATGCAGATTGTACACAGTGAAGACAGGTTTGTAGGCCCAAATGCAGTGCAATTAAAAACACCCAAACTGAGGTATTTAGAGAAAATATAATGAAAAGAACAAAGCAGAAAAGACATGTGGGACACAGCCAAAAGGTCTAACAAAATAGTGGGAGACCCAGAAATGGAGGAAAGAGATGTTGCATCAAAGCAGAATCTGAAAATATGACCAAGAATTTTCCAAACAGATGAAAGACATCAGCCCACAGATTCAGAAAGCTCAGCAAACCCTACACAGTATAAAAACAAAGAAAACCACATTTAGGCAAACTTAGTCACTGTTAAAAACTAAAGACAATTAACTTCTGATTTTCAATTTTCCTAGATGTAAGGATTAGAAGCACTTTCTTAAAAATATTTTTACTACCAACCAAAAAATCAGAGCACACTAATCTGACAAGTACTACAATTATTTTGATGAGAACAGAGTAGCAAAATGTTTGAAATTGAAAATACCATGGAAAAAGCTCTTTTGAAAGCTCATTCTTAATTCTAATCCTGTACTCTCTAGTGAAGCATATGTAAGGAAATTGATTTAGAAGAAATTGTGCTATATTTTTTTTCTTTTTATATGATGTTCCCTGTCTACTTGCCAGTAATGTCTTGTGCTGTTCTTTTTCTTTTCTCTGTGATGCAGGCACACTGGCTTTTATTTCTAAAACAATCTGTTTTCCCTTGTCCCAGAGTTCTTATACATGATCTTTCCTCTGACTAGAATGATTGTTCTGATCTGCCTCTACCTGGGCCCCCTTTCCTTATTAAGTCATAATCCTCCTTCAGGTCTTCAATGAAAGGTCACTTTATTAGAGGGCAATTCCTGATGCTCTCTGCTAAATGAAAACTTCCCTATTGTATATTCTCATGTATACTTATTCTTTATTTTCTTAGCACTTATCACAATTTTTTATTATATATTTATTATTTGTGGTTGTGAGTTGCATATGACTCACTGCATTCTTAAATTCCAAGAGGGCAAGAACAATATCAGTTTTGTTCCACATTCTACATGCAGTCTCTAGCATGGTTCTTGACATAGTTAAGTACTCACTGAATGTTTGTTGAATAAGTGAACAAATAAGTAGCAAAACCTACACAGGAAGAGATGAGATTCAATAGTGGGTAACAATAGGAGTGCTTCATCAATTTTGCTTGCTCCGTAGATATTTGACAATAGCAGAAAGCAGTGTACATTGCTGGTTCTCGCTTTTATTTGTCCTTGCAGCAATGAAGCAGCTTTCTTTACTGTTAAGTAAATGCCAACCTGTGCTTGCTCTGAAAATAATTGAAGGCAAAAGAAATCCTTTTCATGGTTGATTTCTAAAAGCAGTTCGTAATAAGAGAAATAAATGGTTTCCCTTTTGGAAATATAATGAAAGAGGAATCCAACATGAAAGAGTGCAAATACTTGATCTAAAACTGCAAGCTTTGTATAAAATGAGTCTTTCTTTTTACCTCAAATTGGATTTGTTGAAAAAACAGCACTGTGATACAGCTGCCCTCTGGTGGCCATTTACTATATTTCACAGTCCTTAATCCTACTCTACCCTTACAACTTCAGTTTGAAGTGACTATCCAAGTGCTTTTTGTGGTAAAATGTAGTGGGAACATTATGGGTAGCAATTTGACGTAGATATCAGAAATCTTAAAAAATACTTCTTTGATCTAGTAATTTTGCTTCCAGGAATCTATTTTGAGAATTATCTTCCTGATAGGTTGTTGTGAAGATGAAATGCAATACATTTGTACAGCCCTAATAGAATGCCAGGTTTATCATAAGCAATCAGTAAACAGTGACTGTTGTTATGTTATAATTAAAATATTGTCAAGAATCTGGGTGCTGTGGCTCATGCCTGTAATCCCAGCAGCTTGGGGGGCTGAGGCAAGAGGATCATGAGTTCAAAGCCAGCCTTGGCAAAAAAAAAAAAAAAAAAAAAAGCTCTAAGCAATTCAGTGAGACCTGTCTCTAAATAAAGTACAAAATAGACTTGGGGATGTGTCTCAGTGGTCAAATGTCCCTAAGTTGAACCCCCGGTACTCCTAAAAAATATTGTCAAGAATAATATGTAGCAACATGAGAAAGTAAAAGAAGCAGGTTATAAAACGACATGTACTATATATAATTAGACTATTTAAATAACAAACCACAAATCTCTATAAACAAAGAAAGATTTCAAAGAAAATATTTAAAACCTGAATGAGAGATTTCTTTGGTTGGCTGTTTTTCCACTCCTGTGTTTTTCTGATTTTTCTTTATTGGTCATATTTTTCTTAAAATGGAAGTGGGAGAGGGTCTATGTAATTTTTTAACCTAGAACTTTGTGTTTACATAGTACACTTCTTTTAAAGTGCCTCCATGTATTCATAGCGTCCCATGTGAGTAATGATCTGGGCAGCTTCACCGAGTCAACTGTCTCTTTCTCTTCTATGATGTTCTTCACTTCAGGCTATCATACTTTTCCTGGTTTTCTCCTGATGTAACTAGCTTTTCCTTTCCGATCAGCTTTGCTAGATCTTCTCTAAGCACTATAATGCTTCAGAGCTTGACAAATTTGTCCTTCTCCATTTATACTTTCTCCCTAACTGATCTCATTCAGTTCCCTGGATTCAATTTAAATTAGATATATAATTCTTATATATAGATTTACGTTTCTCCCTTGATACCCACACTTAAATATCCAACAGACCACTTCACTTGAATGCTTTAATTGGTATTATAAACCTAACACATCTAAAATAACTTTTTCAATTGCCCTGAAATCTAAGCCTGATCTGCATCTTAGTAACTGGTATCATTTACTCCATTGCTCAGTTCCAAAACCTGGGAGTCATATTTGATTACTGTCTTTTTTACTGCAAAAATCCATTCTATCAGTGAGTTTTGTCAGCATCAGAATACACTAAGTCCTTCTGCTGTTCTTGACCTTTGTTCTGTCACTCTTGTCCAAGCCACTATCATCTTTGAACTACATTGACATTCTCATATCTAGCCTTTCTGCCTCCTGTCTGTTTCCCTGTCCCCCCACCCTTAATTGCCCATGACCCAGTCTCTATGTAACAATTAGAATGATCTTTTTAAAATGTAAAATAAGACCATAACATTCCCATGCTTAAGCCTTCTAATGGCCATCCCTCTTGGAATAAAATTCAAACTTCTTTCCATGGTCTACTTGATTTAAAATATAATTTTTTAGCCTTATCCTCTTTCTAACCTTATCTCCTGTTACTCTTACTTATTAGGCCATTCTGGCCTTCTTTCGGTTTGACAGGTTTAAGTTTGCCTTCTATCCTATAGAGAGGATCAGACATTTCTTGCCATAACAAAAATACATTGCTGAATTTCTGACAGGCTTATGTATAAACTATGAAATAGTAAAATTAAAAAAAAAAAAAGAAATAAGGAAAAGGCTTTTTACAGGTGACAATTTATGTTTTCAAAGTTTTGTCTTTAAATTTAGTTGGAAAAGAGCCCTACATTCCTTTCTTTGACCAATTATTTTCTTGGTTACCCCTACCAAATTTTTGAGATGCTTAGCCAAGGAATGTGAAATCACTTTAGGAAACATTCATTATTATTCCTCATTCTTATTTTCCTCCTCCTCCCCCTTTTCTTCCTTCACCTCTGATTCCTCCTCATCCTCCTCTTCCTTCTTCCCCTTCTTTCCTCCTCTTGGCCCTCCCCCTCCCTTTCTTCTTCAACCAAACTTTGACCATCTTTCAGCAAAGAAAATGTGCATTTTAAGGCAGTATCATTACATATAGGGGTGGGTTCTATGTGGAGCAAAATGAACAACATTAAACTTCAGCATATTTTTATGTCATTTATCATAAAAGAAATATCTTCAACATTTAGATTTAAAGGAAACTTAGATCACATCTAGTTCAGCTTTCTTAATTAATAGATGAGGAAAGTGAGATGTAAATAGAAAACATTATATACTATAGAATAGTCTTTCACCTTTGAATTATTAAGATTACATTAAATCATTAGCCAAAGAGTTATCCCATTTTACAGATTAGAAGAGTGAAACTCAGAGAAGCTGTTTGTTTCAGATCACATAGCTGGTGAAAGGATCAGATGGGATTAGAACTCAGATCTACCTTAAATTTCATATTATATTTCTTATGCTACATTGTCTCTTGGAGGAGTTGTAAGCTATTTTAAAAAGCTACAGTGGAGGGGCTGGGATTGTGGCTTAGCAGTAGAGAATGCTTGCCTAGCTCCTGCAAAGGCTCTGGGTTCGATCCTCAGCACCACATAAAAATAAATAAATAAAAATAAAGGTATTGTGCCCAACAACAACAACAATATATATATATATATATATATATATATATATATATATATATATATATATATATATGCTACAATGGAGGTAGAAAAGGAGCTTATTAGGTATGGAAAATGACAAACACCAAAAGTAGTGAGACTTGGGAAAAGGGAGTGAGAAAGCCATACATTGAAAGCATTGATCCTTTCGCAATATATTCTTTCCTGATGATAAAACAAACCTTGAGGAAGAGGTGTCCATCAAACATGGAAAGGCAGTCTCTGGGAAGAGGCTGAAGCATTAATCCTTATATAAACAAATCCTTTCCAGATACCAACCACTGACCCCAGGCCCTCCATTAGGTCCAATACGATATATCCCAGAAACTGACCACTGACCCTAGACTCCCTCCCATTTTGCCCCATAAAACAGACCCCAAGTTCCCAAGCACTAAAACTGACCCCTTCACTGATTCATAGAACAAACTCCAAATTCCTGGGTGCCCAAAGAAAATTGATAATCTTGCTAGACCATCTCTCAGAATAACCTATATAAGCCCAGGCCCTTTCTTTGTTCAGGGGCTCATTTTTCACCAGGAAAGTGTGTCCCACCATAGTGTCATTTCGTCCCTGCATCCCCTGCTCCTGTGTGAAACTTTGTTCCTGAATAAAGTGCTGAGCTGATTTGTGAGGTTTGCCTCTGTCCCCGTCTTTTTGTGCTAACAGAGCTATTATTTTTTAATCTACAACCTTATGTTCAAATTATAAAAGCAAATTTGCATTATTAGTTTCTATTACATGTGTATTTTAAAGGTTATGATTTTTGTTTTATAAAAATTAATCACCTTCAAGTTTCTATATGAGATGTTTTTGAGTTCTTGCAACATTTACTTATTTATATGTGATATATTTGTGACCATATTGATTTTTCTAATGAGAAAAAATTAAGAAAATAAAAACAAAACGACACATGTATTTGAGACAATTTGAAAATCAGAGACAGGAAAACCACTGAAAGGACAGTTGCCCCTCATAACTGTTATAAATGTTCCAGTGTAATGATGTCTGGTCTGTCTTTAATAATTTTCTTTTTCCATATCTGTACTCCAGGTGCATGGTGTCTTTAAAACAAGAAAAATGTGAAGGATATTTAAGAATTGATGATTTTTACTCTTAACATTTGTTTTCATTTTACTTTTAAGATAGCATACTTATTGTTTAGGGCTTTTGGGTTTTTTTTTTGTTGTTTGTTTGTTTGTTTGTTGGCTTTTATTTTGTTTTAAAGTAAAAGTAAAGTAAGTAAATGACTTAAGATAGTGAAATTATATTGCAACAGTTTCAAAGACTTGTGGTCTTATCTAGAATGGTAGAAAGCACCAAAATAATAAGCATGTGGGCCCAGTAGCTTTGTAGGAACAAAGTATTCAAAGTATATACATATAAAATAAGAATAGCAACATGGCCTTTTCTTTCATACAAAAAGAGCTTATTGTTGAATTATATTTTACCCCAAATGTCCAAATTTTGTTACAGAACTGTTTAACTCTTTTGAGGTATTTTTATATTATATTAAAGTTTAAAGTTTAGCACTTTGTCAAGATTTTTTCTCTTAGAATTTCTTTTCATTGAACATATTTAATACAAGGAGATCAGGTAGACAGATTTTGCATAAAATGCAGGTTTTGGCTTTTGTAATCTGTACAACACTTTGACATTTCAGATTCTTTCATTTTATAGAGCCAAATCCACACTTTCCTAGAATGTATTTTTTAATTGTTTTTTTTTTTTTAAATTGTCACAACGTATAAGACTAAAGAGGGATCAGGACATAAAAAGGCCTGGAAGGAAACTAATACTTACGGTGCTTATTGCTTTATTAGTTATATGCTGTTTCATTCTATATGTGAAAAATTCTATATGTGCATTAACACTAATGGGTCTTTAAAAATTATATGATTTAAAGTGATAATATTACATCAAGGTTCAACTTAAATCACAGGTAAAACTTAAATCACAGATTTCTTTCCCAGTAAGTTGGTGAAGTTAAGGGGACTTCTGTAATCACCTAAGAATTGAGATTTGACATGCATATTAATAACATTTTGGGGGCTTTTCAAATATTGTTCCAGTGATTAGGCCATTTTATTTCATAGCTTCATTCTCTTATCTTTTTTTTTTTTTTAATATTTATTTATTTATTTATTTTTAGTTTTCGGCGGACACAACATCTTTGTTTGTATGTGGTGCTGAGGATCAAACCCAGGCCGCACGCATGCCAGGCGAGCGCGCTACCGCTTGAGCCACATCCCAGCCCCCATTCTCTTATCTTTTTAAAATAAATATTTCACTAGTAAGAAAAAGAAAACAAATCAGACTATGAACAGTATTAGTATTGAACTGTTTTAGCTCATCTTGTAAAATGCCATCATCTTCCTAGATTTCTTTGTAAAATTTACTAACTTATTTCTGAGGTAGTAGTTCTAAGTGTTCTTTTGAATATATGTGGCCTGCAAAGAAGGGAATGTGTGTTATACTGCACTTTCTTGTCCCTGTTTTCAGTTGCTATGTTGCTTTAGTGTCTGTACAGCAACCTTACTAATAGAGTACCAAAGGAGCAGTATTATAAAACTTCACTCATCTATGGAGCATTTGCCTAACATGTGAGAGTCCCTGGTTTCAATCCCCAGCACTGCCAAACAATTAAATATAAATAAAAACCTATGAAAAATAATATGACAAACACCAATGTTCCCATACCCAAAATTCATAAATATTAACATTTTAGCATTTTGTTTCATATTTACACATATATGTATATATGATTATATATTCAAAATAGGAGATTTCAAATAAAGTTGAGGTCTTCTTTGTTTTGCTCCTTTGTCTCATTTTTCTCTCTCCCTTGGCAGAAACAAGCACAGCATAAAATTCTGCATTCTCTTTACCTCTTTCTGTATACCTTTTAAATTTTTACCACATATGTTGTATGTATCAATCTGGCTTAGCAGTATTATGTAGCCATTTGCTTAGTTATTGCTTAGTGTGGTTTAAAAAATTTTTAAAATAAGTATTCTCCTTCTGTATGTATTATTCTACAATTTCCTTTTAAAATCAGTATTGTTTTTAAGATATTTACATGTTCATGCATCTAGGTGTAGTTCACTTATTTAACTATAGTATCCAAACTATGAAAATGCCACAGTTTTATCTGTTAATTGATATTTATATTGTTTTCATTTTTCTTTGCACATAGCTGGCCTCCTTTTAGTATGCATTCATTTGACCAACGGGAATATTGTGACTCTAATCATGTACCCATTCTTTCCCTCTGGGGGACACTGAACTCATAGACATGGCTAGAACAGAAATAACATGGTTAATTCTTACAGTCTTTTTGTTGCAGGCATGGTTTTTGAAAATTGTTATGTTTTCAGTGTAAATCTTTAACTCTTAAAAATAATTTGTTTCTTTTAGGTGCTTGTTTAAACTGCCAGGAAAACAGCAAAGGGGTTCACTGTGAAGAATGCAAAGAAGGATTTTATCAGAGTCCTGATGCCACTAAAGAATGTCTTCGGTGTCCTTGTTCAGCAGTGACATCTACAGGCATTTGCACTATAAGTAAGTCTTCATTTCAGAGAAAAATCCTCCCCCAAATTCTTTATTAATAATTATTAATTTCATCGATGAATCAAGTTCTGGATATATAGGTGGAAGGAAGTTATAAAAGCAGCAAAATTTTCCTTTTTAGGAATTTACAATCTAACTCAAATATATATGTGAAATGATACTTAAAATATCTAAAAACCGTCACAATTAGTTAATACAAGAACTGAGCAACTTTTGCTCACCTATTTGAAGGTACAATTACTAATTAGTTCTTCCAAGGTGCTTAATAATGTGGGCTGATTATGTTTATACAGTTATTTACAAATACAGTTAATGCCATATATTCCTGGTGTATTAATTATCAATTGCTTTATAACCAATTACCCTAAGATTTAGTGCTTTAAAACAATAAATATTCATTATTTCCCATATTTTCTGTTATGAGTTTGAAAGCAGCCTAGCTGGACAAACCTGGTTAGGTTCTTCCTTCCTTTCTTCTTCCCCAGCCTTTCTTTTAAAATTGCAGCTTTATTGAGATATAATTTGCATTCCATACAATTTATTCAACATGTAAAGTTAAATGTTTTTTAATGTATATTCACAATGTTGTGCAACCATCATCACAGTCATTTTTGGAACACAGTCATCACCTCTTCCCATCAAAAATCTCAAAAAATAAAACAAACAATTCTATAACCATTAGCAATCATTCTCATTTCCTCTAGCCTTAGGCAACCACTAACCTATTTTCCTTCTCTGTGGATTTGCCCATTCTGAACGTTTTATATAAATGGAATCTACAATATGCGGCCTTTTGTATTTGGCTTCTTTTACATGGGGTATTTTCAAAGTTCATTCATGTTGCAACATATACTGGCACTTCATTCCTTTTGTTTGACAAATATTATGCCATTCTATGGATATACACATCATGCTTATCCATTCATCAGTTGATGGACATGTGGGTTGTTTCTGTTTTCTGTCCATTACAAATAATACTGTTGTGAACATTTGTTTTTGTGTGTACAAGTGTCTCCATTTCTCTTTGGTATATAACCAGGAGTGGAATTGCTGGATCATATAGTAGCTTAACTTTGTTTAACTCTGTGAGGAATTATCAGATTATTTTCCAAAGTGAGTACACCATTTTACATTCTCATTTTCCCCAATACTCTATGAGAGTTCTAAGTTCTCCACACCCTCACCAAAACTTAATATTGTCTTTTTATAATTATAGCCATCCTAGTGGATGGGAAATGTTATTATATTGTGGTTTTAATTTGCACTTTTCTTATAACTGTGTGCCTACTGACCATTTGCATATTTTCCTTAGAGAAATATCTATTTATCTTTTGTTCATGTTGAAATTGGATTGTTTATCTTTTTATTATTGAGTTAAAAGAGTTTTAGATACAAGTCCCTTATGAGATATGGTTTATAGGGGCTGAGGACAGCATGGGGGAGACCACTTGCCTAGCATTCCAAGGCCCTGGGCTTAAACATAAGCACTGAAAAAAAAAATGTTAAAAAAGAAAGATGTATGAGGGCTGGGTTTGCTCAGTGGTATTGCGCTTACCTAGCACGTGTGAAGCACTAGGTTTGATTCTCAGCACCACATAAAACAAATAAATAAAATAAAGGTATTGTGTCCATCTACAACTAAAAATAATTTTTTAAAGATGTATGATTTGTAGATATTTTATTTTATCCTATGATTTAATTTTTTTTTTGCTTTCTTGATGATATTCTTTTTAGCACAAAAATTTTTAATTTCAAGAAAATCCAATTTATTTAACTTTTTCTGTCATTGTTTGTGTTGGCCTGAGATTTCTCATGCGGTTATAATCAAGATGTTATCCAGGGCTGTAGTCAGTGATCTGAAAGCTTAAGTGGGACTGTAGTATCTGCTTTTAAGTTGGCTTACTCATGTAGCTTGCCAGAGGCAAAAGTCTCCTATTATTCACCATGTGGACCTCTTTATAGAGTTACTTAAATGTTTTTACAGCATGACAGCTGGCTTTCCCTAAGAGTGAATGATCCAAGAGAACAAGATGGAAGCTGCAATGCATTTTGTAATTTAGTTTCTGAAACAAGAGATTGGTTTCATATGTCTATCCTATCAAGTGTGGGAGGGTACTACACAAGAGTGTGACTTGTAGGCAGGGAGCATTAGGTGCCATTTTGAAAATTAGCTGCCATACCTGGTAATGGGAACTGGCACATTTACTCCTCTTCTCATAGAAAGGTCATATAGATACTTTCACTGATTCCAAAATAGTAATTGAGCACCTGGTACATGCTTGTCATCATATTAGACAAGGGATACCAAGATCTAAAAAGTGAAATATGGTCCTTGTTTTAAAAGATTTGGCAGTCTAGTAGAGAGGAAGGCACATAGATATAGCATGAAAAGTAGCAAATGTATTTATAGAATATAATGGGACACAAAAGGAAGGGTATTCCATTGAACATGGGAATGAATATTAGGAAATTTTTTATAAAAGGTTATACATTTAGGTAACATACCTTATTAATTATCATTATTTGTGTAAGTACATAGTAACCATTTAGGATAAATTAGGACTGTTATAGAGTTAGAAATATGAAAATATTATGTATTAGCACCTAGACCTGCATCAATCATATCAGAATTCTACAGTGGTTTTCTTATTTTTATAAGCATATTGATGTGTTACAGGTGTCAAGAATTTAAGATTTTAGAACTTTATAGGAATTATAAATAAGAATTTAAGTTATATTTGTCCTTGGCTCATATAGAGTAACTTTCCTTTTGAACACAGAACTTCACTTATGATAGTTGCTTTTTAAATGATTGTTGAATAGCTGACTAAATTTACTTTCTTTTGAAAGATGGTGCCTTACAAAAGCAATATGCTTGAAATTCTCTGTGCCTTTTCCAGGTACAGAGGATTTCTGTCCATAAAGACAAATCATATAGAAATCATGTCTATATTTTTAACCATTTTATCTTCATTCCTAATGTTTGGTTAATGTTAATAATACATGTGGAGTGAATATAAAGGGACATAGCCATAACTCAGACAGAGAGTAGTCAGATGTAGATTTAATAAGAGTTTAGAGGGGAGAGGATAACTTCCTACTGGGACTATAGAAAAATCTTCATGAAGCAGGTAACATTTGAACTGGGCCTTGAAGAATGAGGATTGGGACATCTAGAAATGTATTTATGTAGAGTTGAGTGGGAAATCAAAGAAAAAAGCTGAATAGGGACCTGACCAGTCCAATTTGACCTGTATGTATGTGTTCCAGAACATATATTGTACTCACACTATGGACTAAGGGTAGGACAGCCAATTCAGATAGTTTCATGCTTTCAGAACTCACTGTTTCTAGTGGAGAAACTAACATACAAACAAATGCAGTGCAGTATTATGGGGAAGATCATAGAGAATATAAACTGTCCCATCGTTAAAGAGACACCTTAGTAAGTAGTGGCAGTAATCTAGGTGAGAAACGATGAAGGCCTAAACTAACATCCCTTAGTGGATTTGGCGAGAGATATAAGTAGATTGGAAAGATTTTAATGAGGTGTGATTGATATGAATTAATAACTGCTTGTAGGAGTTGGGGAGGAAGACTGAGGAAAGATGATGTAAGTTGGTACCATTCACTGAACATTGGAAGAATATAGGACTCAGGAAGGGAAGATGTCGAGGACAATAATTTATATTAAGTTTGAAATGTTTGTGGATCCAGCCATACAAGTTAGTATATTGTTTGGAATTTTAGACAGAGAAATGGACTATAAATACACATTTTGGAATTGTCATTCATGTGAGTGGATGCGCTCACCTGGGAGAATGAACAGGGTGACAAGTGAAAAAGACCAAAATTAGAGGTATGGGAATATACCAGAATTTAAGTAGGGAAGAGATGGAGGAAATGTTCATTAAAGCAATAATTTCTCCAATTTTTCATGTCTAAAAAGAGAAGGAATTAAAAAAAAACTGGGCATTTTTCAGAACAGCTACCATCACAATTATTTGGACTCCCAACTTAAGGATTTTTCTTTCACCTTCTCATTCTACCTGAATAGGTTCTCAGGAGAGTCCCATCTTTTCTATGTTAAGCTGGAAAACTAGTAAATAAATTAGATTGGTAAGTTGATTCCGCATATCTCTTAATGTTGAAAAGAAATAGTAAGGAGGATTTTATAAATATATTTGAGGACTAAAAGTTATTTTGTATTTTTAATTATAGCTTGAGATTTTATTAAATTAATTTGATGTTCTCTTTTAGAATCGAATGAATTGGGACCTAAATGTGTCCAGTGTAAAGATGGTTATACAGGCCCGAACTGCAATACATGTGAAAATGGCTATTACAATTCTGACAGCATTTGTACACCATGCCAGTGTCATGGTCATGTGGATCCAGATAAAAGTCCAAAGATTTGCAAGCCCGAGAGTGGTGAATGCATCAACTGCCTCCACAACACCACTGGGTTTTGGTGTGAGAACTGCCTAGAAGGTTATGTTCGAGACCTCCAGAGAAATTGCATCAAGAAAGGTAAAACTTCACCTAAGATTATATTTTTAATATCTAAGCCTAGCACTGAAAATTTCAAAACCTCTACCTTTAGCTTTAAAACCGTCCAATCTCACCAGAGGAATTTTTGGAAATAGAATTTTATAGATATTTGCCTACAGAGGTTTCCTTCCCTTCCTGCTTCTCTCCTGATGTTCCAAAGTCAACTCCAGAAATTTGAGAACCAAGACAAAGTCATTGCGACAGTGAGACCAAGTGTTCTCACATTTTCCCTTCATCTACTTTTATTTTCATGTTAATAATTTTAAAGTCCTATCGTTCCTTTTATCCTTTCCTTCCTTTTATTCTCATCACTTTCAGCGATCATCAAAGGTCTTTTCAAGTAGGGTCCTATCATCTGGTTAGAAATTCCAGCTAAGAATAGAGTTTATTTCAACATCTGTCCAAATTTTGGGCTTAAGTTATTCCATGTGTGATGGGAGAAATGGTATTAATATTTCTTTAGGTTTTTTTTTTAAGTTATTCACATGGCAGAATATTTCTTATAGGGAATTTCAGTAAAGATTTAGAATTATAAATTCATGATGAGCTAGGGATATTTGGAGATTATTAGGACACTGAGCGATTAGACCATGTTCTACAATCCAATCTACTATTCTAACAGATGCTGAATACTAGGTTGACACACACTTGGTCTGTGGCAGGTGCAAATTTTCTGCCATTTTCTTGATATCCTTATACTTTTGTGATCAAGGCTGAAGGACTCAGATTGAACCCTATCACTGGAGACCTTGTCACTCAATTCTCTTTTCCATTTGGGAGGCAGACCTTGTTCATACCTTATCCATACCAAGGAATACCTAATTAGTGGATAGGAGTTTTTTGGGGTTTTATTTTAAGTTATTAAGTAATATAAACTTTGCCCCTTTTCAGATAAATTTATCTGGCTGACTTATGGTAATGAATAATAATAACACCAACAATAATAATTTTAGTAAGTATCTATGTGCCAAGTACTGTAAGCATGAACTGTGATAGTGCTGTATAGGGCAATATCTCATTTGATTCTGCCCAAGAATTCTGTAAAGTGACATTATTACTCTCATTTAACAGGTGAGAAACCGAGGTTTTAAAAAAGATTGTCCTATCAGGCTGGGGTTGTAGCTCAAGGGTAGAATGCTGGCTGGCCTAGCAGGTATGAGGTCCTGGGTTCAATCCCAGCATCACAAAAAAAATAAAAGAAAGAAAGAAAGAAAAAGAAAAGAAACAAAATTGACTTATCTATACCAACATAATTTTGTTTGAGTCCAAAGCCTTGGATCCTTCTACTAAGCTGTGCTGCACTAGTACAAAGTCTAGTACCTTAATTATAAAATAGCTATAAGCTACACAAAGGAAGAATTACCACACCTGGAATCAAAGGAAGCTTGTTTTTTCTGTTGGAGGACATCAAATTTGAGCACTTAAATTGTGTTTTTCAGGTGTATTTAAAGGAAATATTTGTTTCAGGAAATTTTACCTTCCTCATGAAATGCCATCAGACATGTTGGGCTTATAAGTCAAATGATTGCCATCTATCTCTGTCACTTTTAACCATGTGATTTAGAACTCAGTAGTGGCATCTTTACTGCCTTTACAGGAATTTATAGGATTCTATCCATAAGTGAAGAAGGATAGAAAACTCCAACATTGGGGCTGGGATTGTGGCTCAGAGGTAAATCGCTTATCTAGCACATGCGAGGCCCTGGGTTCGATCCTCAGCACCACATAAAAATAAATAAACAAAATTAAAGTATTGTGTCCAACTACTTCTAAAAAATAAATACTAAAAAAAAAAAGAAAGAAAACTCCAACATTGGAATTTTCTCAAAGATTTTAATAGAGATATTACACATATTGGAGAATAGCCAGGAATGTAACAAGTTAGCTTCCCAGACTCTGATTCTTATCACTGTATTTCTTTAAAAATTATTTTTAACTTGCATTATCTTAAAGCAAAGTACCACGTCAACATCCCACATCCACTTCCACTCCCATGTGTATTTCTTTTATTGTTTCTTGAAACTAGATAATTTTGTCTTTTACATTTCATTCTCTGTTTTTTATTTTCAGAAGTTATTGTTCCAACACCTGAAGGTTCTACCATTTTGGTTTCCAATGCCTCTTTGACCACATCAGTGCCCACCCCTGTTATAAATAGTACATTTACCCCCACAACCCTGCAGACTATCTTTTCAGTAAGCTCTTCTGAAAATAGCACTTCAGCTTTAGCTGATGTATCATGGACTCAATTTAACATCATCATTTTGACAGTCATCATCATTGTGGTGGTGCTGCTAATGGGATTTGTCGGGGCCGTATATATGTACCGTGAGTACCAAAACCGGAAACTCAATGCCCCCTTTTGGACCATCGAGCTGAAAGAAGATAATATCAGTTTTAGCAGCTACCATGACAGCATTCCCAATGCAGATGTGTCGGGACTGTTGGAAGATGATGGCAATGAAGTGGCTCCCAATGGGCAGCTGACCCTGACGACACCCATGCATAACTACAAAGCCTAAGGAGCTGGATTGTTAAACTACAATGCTTACTAAAACAGCATCAGCCCTTGAGCCAGACAAAGCCTGGGTAGAGTTTGCTGAGAAAGCAAAGGCAAATAGTGCATCTGAAATTTGCAGGTACAAATCTGTAATGCGCTTAGCCTATCTATTGCTTTTAGTATTGCCATGAAGATCTGAAGCATTGATTCATTAAGGACCTGAAGTAAAGTATATTTTTGTACCAAACCACATGGGAGTATGGAAAGGCTGAACCCCATAGTGCAGCCCAAATCCTCTTTGACCTCCAAATAGACTGTTGGGGAAGTGTTCGCCTCGCCAACAGTAACAGGATGATGGTTGGGAAGGGAGGAAAGGACTGCTAGAAGACTTCATCTCCATTCCTGAAACATTTTTTTTTTAAAGGAGGGCCAGGGATTATTTTGATTTTACTCTCCTAAAAAACATCATTGAGGAAAAGATGGTGTCTATGCTGTATCACAATGAACAATCTTGATTGTTTCTAGAATAAAGGCAGAAAAGTCCCAAGAAGATCTTTAGAAGGGCTTGATTTTTTTCCTCCCAGGATTCTCACTCAATGATGAGATTAAAGCACAGGATGAGCTTCTAATGGTAGAGAACAGAAGGCAGCATTGGGGGAGCAGGAAGCTGATGGTCCTCCTCAGGGGTTCTGTGTAAATGATAAATTGTCTAAAAATAGGAATATTCCTGCCTCTAGAGAAATAAGGTGTACATAGTTAATGTAGCATATCTGGTCAACATTGTATTTGTATCTATTTGTAAAAAAAAAATTCATGTCATATTTTATCATCTAGAATTTATTTGTACAGCAGTTAATGGCACTGTAAAAAGAAAATATGGGTATTGGTTAAAAAACTGTAAAATAGATGGCAATATTGCTAGAGCTGGGACTCTGGTGAGCATTAGTCATTTTTAGTCCCTCTTTGGACATTGTTGAAATTTATAAGAGGTTGAATGTGTCTAATCTTTCTTTCCTTTCTCAACCTAAAAGTAGAGTTATATGCTCTTTGACCTACTATAGATTCAAGCAATAGATTTTGAAGTCAATAAATGTTAAGCTGGGACACAGGCTACATTCTCCAAAACACTCACCTAATTAGACACTAGCCATTCTATATGTTTTACATAGATTAACATAAAACATTCTCATTGAAATATTTTTTCCTGAATGTAAAAGTTAGTCTTCCAAAGGATAGAAATATTTGATTTTCAAAAGAAAAGCCATCATCTCACTTGGGATCCCTGGTTTTAATGCCTGTGAACTATTTATATCTTCCACTCAAAAAAACAAAACAAAAAAACTCTTATAATTGAACATAGCCCATCACTCATTTGCCCTCTCTTTGCAGTGCTATAGTTCTTCCATAATCTTATTGTCTGGTTAGAGGGTAGCTCTGTAGTTGAATTTTTTTTTAAACTCCTGGAGGCCAACTACTGTTGCTCTCATTTATTATGATATTGACAGATTGTGGATTAAGCAAGCTAAGAAAGGTGACCAGAAGTCAAATACAGATATTTATCAGGAGGAACAGCAAACAATGAGACAGAAAAAAATGAAGACTTCTTAGACCTAGGAAATCTAAGTTGACCCCTTTGACTAACTTTCTAAGATAAAACCCTAGAATTTGTTACCTTTTATAGGAGACCCCTACAATGTTCTCAGGGTTTGGAAATGATGTTCTAGAGGATAGGTAGGCATAGAATCTGCTTCTGGTAACCTGAGGATATTCTGCATATTTGACCATTGATCACAAGAGTAGACATTATATTATATTAAAGTTATTTCATATTTCTATTGATCTTTGTAGTTTACAAAGCACTTTTCCATGTGTGTGCCCTTTGTTCCTACCATAGCCCCTGAGAAAGTAATCATTCTACCCACGTTTAAATGAGGAGACTGAGGCACAGAGGGGCTGAATGTCTTATTCAAGGATCCTCAATGTGTGTCATTATTAGGCTTGGAATGAAGACTTCCAACTCTGAAGCACATGTTCTTTCAACTATACATTGATGCAAAAATTTGCCTAGCCACACACATAAGAAGGCTGGGAGGAAGAGTCCCATTGTGGATGTTTCTAATTTTTTGTCATTACCAGGTACAATGCAGAGCCATAGATCTAGGAAGGACTCTAGAAAGAACACAGGAAGATTACTATCTGAAGTCAACATTAGTGATAAGAAAACAAAACTGCCATTTCTGCTTCATTTAGGTGATCTACTCCCTTCAAGCAGGGAGGGGAAGCTTGGTTTCCTCAGAAGTTGCTGCATAAGTGTAGAGGTTGTGTCCTGAAATTCTAAGGAATTATGTAAAGTGACATACCTGCCTTTCTCTGATACCCCACCTCCTGCCAAAAGAAGTCAGGATTGAGGCTGGTGAAAAATAAATGTGTTAAACAGAAGTTAATCCAATAAAGAAAGAAAGAGTGTCTGTTGGAGTCTAAGAGCCAAAACTAACCAGTTAGGATTCTGGCCACATATAGATTCCTTGAAAGAGACCTTAAAAGATATTGCAAAAAATTGAATCACAATGTTTATCTTGTTAGCAACTCTTAGATCATGTTCATAGTTTTTCACAAAGGAAAAATATTAAGGCCTTAATATGTGTTTTAAATAATTTTCTTTAGTGACCTGCATTTTTGCTTGTGGAAATAATTTTGCTCCAAAATACAAATCAATCATGAGTTGTTTTACCACTGAAGTCAGACTAGGAAGTTGGTAAGAAATGAAGCACTGCACACTGTTGCTTCCTCTGAAGGCATCCCCGCAAACTCTGGCATCCAGCAATGGGATCCCAACAGTCCTTTAGAAGAATAAAAATTCTAGGGATTAGGAATGAGCTGTTTTATTTCAACAAGATAATACCAACGTTGAAATGGCAGAGGCTATTAAGTGATACTTTTATCTTCATTAATTCATTTTAATAAGCCCTTATGCATTTCTGATAGTTAGATACTTTAGGTAGTATTGTTAAGTATGTCTTCGTCCTCCCTTACTTCCCCCTCCCTCCACTCTACCTCCCAGGGCTCTCTTATTAATGGAATTTCTTCAACTATAGGAAAAAAGTGATAATTTAAAAAAAAAACCTCATATTTATCCTGAGGTCCCATGGACCCAGTGTTTAACTTTTCCCAGTGAGATCTGGATTTTAAGAGATAAGAACAAATCAGATATATGGAATGGGAAGAGAGAGATTTTTGAACAGGGTTTGTATCAGCCTCGAATTATATGGCTACTCTCCAGCTTTAATAGTCCCAGGATAATTGACCATCAGAGAAGTACTCACTGACTTCCTAGTTGATTTTGGTCAGCTGACTGTCTTCAAGATATTTAGCCCTTCTTGTGCTATTGTGGAAATGAGGAGCTAAAGCAACAGTACTTATTTTTGGAAGATTTAATTAGAACTGGGTTATTACATCATTGGTCCTACACTTTTTGGTAAATATAACACCACCTGTAATTAGTATCTACTGGTTCTCCTATTTTGGGTTATGTGGTTAGGAGTTGAATTTCCTCATCTCAAAGGAAGCTCTCTTGCAAAGTGTTCAGAGAAGTTAGAGCTAAGAAAGTCTTCCTGGCCTCATCCACAAAGAACCTTTGGTTTCTTTTGATCTTGAGAGTAAGGAGTTTGGGAGCTAAAATGGGTTTGATGTGTGCTGGGAGTCAGGAAAGGTTAACATATATTTCTCTTCAATCCTGAGCCAGTCACTATGCCAAGGGGAAAAGCAGGAAGAACACACTGATTCATCTGAAGAAGTCAAACAGGATCAAATGGACTATAAAGGTTATGAATCATTAAAACATCGGTGGTTGAATGATGCTTTTTCCAAAGCAATGGGGAATCCTTCTTGTTACTTATGCATATGCAATAACTAAAGCAGCAGGCCTAGAATGTGAGCCCAGGGCCTCAGATTCAAATTAGTCCAAAAGCAAAATGAATTTAAGTCAAGTTTTAATGCTAGGCACAAGCACTCTGTAACAAGTTAAATTTCATCCCAAGTAATTAGGGAATGTTTCTGAAACATTAAACTTGTGTTTATGTCACTACAATTCTAACACAAATTTTAAAAACATGTTTCACTCATGTGCTGTACTAGGCTTCATGATGCATTTCTAAATTTGTGTATGATTTGAATATATGAAAGAATTTATACAAGAGTGTTATTTAAAATTATTAATAAATGTATATAATTTGTACCTATTGTAGATTTGTTGTTTTACTCTTTTGTTGGTCAAAGTTGATATAGGTCTGTGTGGTTAAGAATATTTAAAGAATGTTTTCTACTTGGAGAAAAGTACCACATGAAGAAGATTCCCTTTCTTAAAATAAACAAACACCTGAGAAGAAAATACATATTAATATGTACTCGTATTTGTGCTTTTCTTCCCCAATTAAATCCATTGGTATTTCTATGAAATTTTTATACAGATTTTTTTCACATCTATGAGGAATTTCCTTTTTTTAGTAGAAATCTGAACATAAACCATGTTCTTTGTGGTGATTAATCATAATGAGACTACACCTTTTTATTATTTTAAGGTACCCTTGAAGATCTTCTATTCTGACAGTTAAACAATGTTTAATGGCATGCCATCTAGAGATCTAAGGGTGCTTTGTGGCAAATGTACATGTGTGTGTGTGTTACTGAAGATTAAGCCCAGGAACCTTTACCACAGAGCCACATCCCCAGATCTTTTTATTTCATTTTGAGACAAGGTTTTGCTAAATTTCTGAGGTTAGCCTCAAACTTGCAATCCTCCTGCTATGGCCTCCTCTGTTGCTGAGATTACACATATGTGCCACTACAGCCAGCTCTAAGGAGTACTTTGAAACAGAAGAAAAAAATAGGTCAAGCATTTCTTTTTGCTGAGAGCTTTATAAACTTAATTTACTGTACCTCAGTTGGTATTTATATTTTAAAACTTGTTTTTTCCTTTCTAGTCACATGAGAAAACAGATTTTGTAACTATATAACACTTTATATATTAATACATGTAGTTCTACGATGCACTTGAATTGGGAACTACCCTAAGGGAACAGAATTAAATATGGCAGAATTCTAAACAAATGATAATTTCTAGAGAAAGTAAATATGAATCTAAATATACTTTTGATGAAAGTCTATCAAGACATTGACTAGACTGTATTATCAAAATTAGTTGTATTCATTTTCCATAGGAATATAAGATGCATATGTTTAAACACATTTATTTGTTCCATTATAATTAAATCAGTAACATCAAAGTAACCATTGTGCTTAGTTATGTTTCAAAAATTTAGCTAAATTACAAACAGCAAAATATTTTCATGAGATGATATATGAGAAGCATTAATCAATAGGTTGAAAATCAGCATTTTAAGTGAATATTAAAATCATAATTTTACCTATAAGTTTTTCAAGGGAATTTTATAAGGAAATTGTATTAATTATTGTAAGGCTTTCTAATACTTCTGCTTACAAAAATGAAAGCCATCATACAATATTAATTTTAAAATGTGTTTATAGATTATATTAATAAGTTGGTTTGAAACCTTGTATTCTGAATAGAACACTGCATTTTAGACAGTTGCAGAGAAAAACAGGCAAAATATTTTCTTTGTATGTAATAAGAGTTGGCTTGGGTAATAAATGAAGTGTTTGGAAGGAAATCTTTTGTGGTTTCCTTTGTGTTGTCAGACCAACTGCAAAAATTGTGTGCCAATACTATTTCTTCAATCTGTGCCCCACATAAGGAGGAGCCTCAGCTCTGCCCACATTCACTACCATTTTAATCCAATCATATTAAACTCATGATAAATTTCCCATATATGCCAGGTTATATGAAGTCTTTTGGCTGGTATTATTTCCTTTATTTAAAGCATCTTTGGGAGTGTTTATTCATTTTTTTTACAACGTTTTGATAAAGGAAAGTTTTTTGATCCTTAATTGTACCTGCATTTTGGCTAATGAATACCTTTCTAACTGCATATATTTTACTGTCAATGCTTTTGGGTTTCTATCTTGCATGGAAGACTCTGTATTCCTTGAAACCAGGAGGATTTGTTCTTCTGCCTCTGGCATCTGGAATATTGCTGTGGATTGTAGATGCTCACTCAATGGTGGTTTGCAAGATAAGGTACCAAATAAAGAGTTGGTTTGTGAACTTTTTTGGTGAAGTATCATAAGAAATCTTATGTGCAGCATGTAGGACTGCTGTGGTTTGTCCCCCAGAGTCATGTGCTAGAGACTTGGTCCCCAGTGTGGCAGTGTTGAGGTAGTGGAAGCCTTCGGAGATGGGGCCTCAAGGGAGGTGATTAGGTCTGAGGATGGATTGATGCTTTTCTCATGGGAGTATGTTCTCATCTCAGAAGAAATCTCACGAGAGCAAGTTGTTATAAGTGAGCCTTACCTTCCCTGAATCCTTCTTCCATATGCTACTTGACATTCTTGAATGCCATTCACCATGCAGCCCTTACCAGAGCTGGCACCTTGCTCTTTAATCTCCAGAACCATGAGCCAAATAGTAATATCTCTGTCTCTCTCTTTCTCTCCCTGTATCTCTCTCTTTTTTTCTTTTTTCTCTTCTTTTTTTTTTCTTTTCTGTGTGTGTGGTACTGTAGTTGAACACACAGCCCTGTGTGGGCTAAGCAAGTGCTCTACTACTGAACTACATCCCCAGCCTCCCCCAACCCTTAATTTTGTTTTGAGACAGGGTTTTATTAAGTTGACCAGGCTAGCTTCTAATTTGAAATCCTCTTGCCTCAGCCTCCTGAGTCATTAGCCTGGCAAACTCCTTATACAGATTCCGGCTTCATATATTTTGTTAGAGCAACACAAAATGAACTGAGAGAAGGATATTTCTTATTTATTCAAAATATCTAAGAAACCCTTGAAATTGTATTTTTAAATTATTTTTTAGTTGTAGTTAGATACAATACCTTTATTTTATTTATTTCTATGTGGTGCTAGGTAAGCACACCATTGAGCCACAACCCCAGCCCCATGTTGTTTTGTTTATGAATGTAATTGTGAGTTTTTGTTTTTTGTTTTGTTTTTAAGAGAAGGTCTGTGCATTTAATCATAGTCTCTAAGGATCTGTGATCCCAAAGGATTAACAGTTACTTGGATGGGGATTACCTCATGTTTTTCAGCAATAAAATATCCTCCCACTGAATGTGAATTGGCACAACTGGAAAATTGGTCGCGATCTAAAATTGCACTCCTGGGAATACTTCATAAGAAAATAACCTAAAAATCAGAGACTTCTGCTCAAAATTTTTGTTTTCCAGAATTATGTACACAGTTCCAAAAACTGCAGGCAGATTCTAAGTGTTTGACAATAGGGATTTAGTCTAATGCAAAGTTATTAAGAAATATTAGGAAGCATCATTAAAAACAGAATGAAAGTTAAGAAAAATGGGATATTTGAATATTTGAATATGTGCATGAAGTTTCACTCCTGGTGTATAATTCAGAGAAACTCTTTTGTAAGTACACCAAAAGCAATATTTAAAAATCTTGGTTGCAGCATTATTTATCAGAGTAAAATAATTGGAAACAGCACAGATGTCTGTCAGTAGAAGAATAGTTAGACTGCAGTCTATTCATATACTTTGAAAAGAATTTTATGCAGTAGTGGAAAATGTGTGAATTACATATATATATATATATATATATATATATATATATATATATATATATATATAAATGTTTAATATCAATGTGGATGAATCCCCAAAACACAATGTTGAACAGGAAAATCAAGTCACAGTGAATATATACAGATAATTTCTTGTATAGAAGGACCAAAAATGGGATATAGAATACTATGTTGTTTAGAAATACGTAAGAAAACTATAAATAAAAACAAGTAATTGATTGATACAAAAGTAAATTTAATTTTGGAAGGGGTGGGGGATGCACAGATGGCTTTGAAGGTCTTGAAAATATTCTATTTCTTAAGCTGTGTGTGGGTACATGGATTTTCACTGTACAGTCATCCATTGGTATCCATGGAGGATTGTTTCCAGACTCCCTGAAAATATCAAAATCTGCAGATGTTCAAGTTCAAGTGTCTAATAAAAATGGGATAGTATTTGCATATAACATGTGTATGCACACACTAGAATATATATAATGTTTCACAGTGAAATTTTTTAATAAGGTACACATGGATGCAATATGTTGAATATACAAAGAAAATATTTAGAAGGAAACAGCATAACTTGGTGATATCTATGTTAAAGAACAAAGAAACAAAACAAAACATTGCATTTCACAGTGGTAAAAAAATAAATTTGCCAGGCCCGGTGGCACATGCCTGTAATCCTAGTAGCTCAGGAGGCTGAGGCAGGAGGATTGTGAATCCAAAGCCAGCCTCAGCGAAAAAGTAAGGCACTAAGCAACTCAGTGAAACACTGACTCTAAATAAAATACAAAAAAAGGGCTGGGGATGTGGCTCAGTGGTTGAGTGCCCCTGAATTCAATTCCTGGTACCAAAAAAAAAAAAAAAAAAGAAAAGAAATTCATCAAAAGGATACAGCAATCCTGTATGTGTATTCAGCTAATAACAGAGCTTCAAAATACATGAAACAAAGTCTGATAATACTAAAAGGAAAAATAGACAAAACTACATTTATAGTTAGAGATTATAATACCTCTCTTAATGTATAGAACAAATATACAGAAAGCCTGTAAGGATATAGGATATTTGAACAACACTATCACCAACTTGATCTAATATATATAGAATGCTCCAACCAATGATATCAGGCTGTACATTCTTTTTGACTGTACATGGAACATTTACCAAGATAGACCATATACTAGGTCATAAAATAAGATGCAACAAACTTAAAAATATTGACTGATCCAAAATATGTTCTCTGATCATATCAAAATTAAATTAAAATCAGTAACAAATGTGTCAGGAAAATTCTGAAATATTTACAAACTAAACTTCTAAATGACACATAAATCAAAGAAGAAAGGAAGAGAATTTATAAAGTAGTTTGAACAGAATGAAAAAAACCACAGCATTTCAAATTTGTGGAATGCAGCTAACAGGCGCTTAGAGGAAAATTCATAACATTAAATGTCTATATTAGGAAAGAGGAAAGATCTCAAATCAATGAACTAAGTTTCTGTCCTAAAAAAGTAGAAGAGGAAGAACAAAATAAACTCAAAGGAAGCAGAAAGTATGGAATTAAAAAAAAA